TGGAAGGGAACATTAAACAATTAAAAATCACTACAACGCATTTTATTACATGGTAGGCTCAAAAGATCTCTTGCATGCATTTCATGCTGTGAATCAGAAGTGAATTACCTGGACCTCAGATATCCCCCAGTTGTTCAGTGGTGGATTCAGCCAGTTCTCACCAGTTCGAGAGAACCGGTTGTTAACTTTCTGAGCAGTTTGGAGAACTGGTTGTTGGAAGAAATCATTAGGGCAGAGAACCGGTTACATTATTTGAATCCCACCACTGCAGTTGTTCCACTAGTTTGTTCACTATCATTTTTCAGATGAAAAATACATAACCACTGTTCTGTATTTCTAAAATAAAACCATAAACCTCCCTCTGGAAATACGAAGTCTTTATTTCCTTTATTTTAGAGTGTGTGCATATTGTAAATCATAATGATTTTTGGAGTTACTTAATTGGTGGCTTTGGGGGGATGCCAGACCCTCTTAAAAGATAGCTTGGATTCTACAGTGCTTTCTTGTGCACCGGAGGAGGATGGGAGGGGCTGTCTAATTTATTTTGGGCAATGAACACAATCATGGCAGTATGAACAAGCATTTTATATGAAGCAAATTTCATAAGAAAAGTTCTTATTCAATGTTCACTTTCTTTTTATTTAATTTTGAAGCCATAAAAAATGCACAGCTAAATAAACCTTAATTTGTTGAGCAAACTACAGGTATCAAAGTATCCTGTTTATTATTACTTACCATCCTGCAAAAGGCTGCTTTTGCAACTATAAAAACGTCCCATAAAATGTATACATTAACCTGTCAGCTTGTATGCCTTCTTTGATGTCTTTGATTTGATAGTTGAACCTGTTTTCGTTTTCAGGAAAAAAAATATTTTGAATCTTAAATGGTATGTTTAAGCCACGTCTTGAGCACTGGGCTACAGTGGGGGAGAGGGAGGAGAAATTAAGAGACAGGATTTGCCACTTTAGTACATAAGGTCAAGGATCAAATTGTTACAGTACCTTTTGCTGGTTGGATGTTTTTACACAGTGTGCCTTTTTAGTGAAAAGAAAATAACAGCACCAAACCTTTTAAGGATGAGTTTGTCATGCAGTGACTTGAGACACACTTGGTGACATAAACAGACCTTAGTGGCTTAGAACAAAATGGAAAAGAAACATTGTTTGCAGTGTTCACTTGTACTTGCATAAAATGTAAACCATGGCTCATTCCAGTATAGCAACAAATTAATTTAAACCTGGAATCAGCATCTCCCTTGGTAGTGTTAGGATAGTGTGGCAGGGTTATTTCTCTGTCCAGCCTACCTTGGATCTATTGATATATGGTATCAATATTTGGTATGTAATTGAAGGAGCTTTCATGTTTGATAACATTCCATATACCCCAGAGTCTGCATTGAGTTTGAGGGAATTAAATCATGATGGGCTTTATAAAGTAATGGGGTAAATTAGAATATAGACACATCCCACATTATTTGTGATCCTACAGGATTTTATGTTGACTAAAATATCCATAGGCCAATCTGATTATTTTAGTTTGCCTTTGGAAATCATTTGCAAGCCATTATAAAATGGCTTACTCCCAGATTCTTGGCTTGGCCTGTTTCTTTGATGTTACATTCCAATATAAGCAAATCATTTCTCCCAACTCTCTAGATTTTTTTTTTTTACTTATATTCAGTATATTTATTATACTGGGATCTAATGGCTGCATTCTGTTTTACAAGATATGATGAAGTCCCTTACTTAAGCAGTGGCTAGATGGGTGCTGTGAATATTTGTGATAACAAATTGAAGCTCTGAGTAAAAATCCTACTAACCTATTTCTGTGCAGAGTTTTGGCCTCAGAATATCATTTTAAAGCTCAGTGTACTGTAGCATTGTACAGTTTGCTTTCAAGTTCTACTGTTTATTTAGTTCCCAGCTATAAGAACCATTGAAAATGCTGTCTCCTCTAGCAGCAAGCAAAGCTTTCTGGAATCCGCTGTTTTCAGGAATAATTTGTGGGCTGTTTTGAAAACCAGTGTTATAACCAAAGCCAGTTTATTGAAATTGAACAAAACAACCTGGAGTCAGTATAATCTTTGAATCATCCACATAGAATTCTGAGGCGTTAATTGCAAGATGGTTTTATTCAGAATGTCAAAAAGATAAGTCAATCTTTATCCCTGCAATTATCCTTTAATTTATTATTCACTTTGTAGTGCTCATTGCTTTCTGAAAAGGACCTTTTTCTCAGTGTTATTAGAGTGATTTGAATTTTTGTTTAGGTTCAATTGTTTTATTTGGGTTGTTGGGATTTTTTTTAAAAATAGATGTGATTTCCTCCCACCCCTCAAAATGGGCAACATACTGGAAGATCAGAAGATTGAGTGGTTGAAAGAATATTTAAGCATTATATAAAACAGTGCTTACCGAGTTATCATCATCTTACAACTTGAATAGTGGCTGTAATCTTTAATGTCTCCTATTAGATAGATAAATGATAGATAGATAGATAGATAGATAGATAGATAGATAGATAGATAGATAGATAGATA